TTCAAAATGTTGTTTTCTCCGCGCAGCTCCTTAGGGGAGTTGTGTTGTTAATGCTAATCCCAAAGGGGCAGATCCATGGGGCTGATGCTACACGTTACTCACCAGCCGTGGGTTACGCTGCAAGACAAATGTTGAAGACAGAAAAAAGGGAGAAGATTCCCAGTTGAACAGAGGATTTTATGAGCTGATATCTAAACTGAGTTTCTTAAGGACCTCTGCAAATGTCAAACTGCAAATTTCATATGAAGTTAAGGAATTTGAAAGCAGAATGAATCAGACACAGTAGGTACAGATGAAAAAATTGCTTTTAAAAGAAAGAAAAATGGCTTACAGAAAAGGTGGATAAAATTAAGAGCTAGAGAAGAAAACAGTATGTAGCTATTGCTAGTTGGTGTGAGGCAAGAGTGTCCTCCAGGCACAGCATTTCTTAAGGGAAGTAGAAAGAATAAAGGAACATATTTCAACAAAGCAATCTCAGGAAGTATGCCAGAGACTGGTTGACAGTAGAAGTAAACTAGACCTCATAAAACAGACAATGCTGTAAAGATCATCGGATTTGCAAAACAACATTATTATGAAAGACAAAAGCGGTAGACTATTGCTAACATTTAAAAAATAAACAACATGTAAAATAATCTCTTCAGTCTCCAGATGAGCCAGCCAAAGGATATCCAGAAGACAAACTGGAGTTTTCTGCAGGATGTTAATACTGCTTGGAGACAATGATTCCAAAATAGGACTATTTCATTTAAGCTACCTAAACCATGTTAACAGATCAGGAGTTCTAGAAGAAAGCCATTAAATTTTAATTTAATTATAGCAAATAGTAAATGACGTACATTTGAAATCCTTAAACCCCTAATGGTTTTCATGTAGAATTAAAAGTATGTATGCGTGTGTGTATGTATGTGTACATACATATACATTTATATTAAAGAATCTGGAGTGAACAGATGCAGCCACAGTTGGGTCAGGTCTTTAATGAGACACTGAAAGAAGAGAAGGCATCTGGGTGTAGTAATACTGAAATATGAAAAACACCTACTCAGTTGCAGGACAGATAACACATCTCTTAAAGTAAAATCTTTTCTTTGTTCTTAGTAAACAAACCAAATAATTCTACCTGCTTACACTAGCAGAGATCCACGAGCTACTTAAACAGGAAGCAGAGAGAGAGAGAGATCATCATTCATGACTTGTTTCTCAAGCCAAATATGCAAAGCAACCCACCTCGCAACAAACATCAGAAGATGAAAAACTGATAATGTGATCTGGCAATTTCCAAAAGGCATCATAAAAACTTTTGGCTTAGTACCAAGTTTAGAAATTAGATATTTATCCAGAGTCAAATCCAAATCCTGCAGTAAAAGTTTTAACAAAGTTAACAGCCCTATAAACAAGAGTATCCCTTTCATACCAGGCACAAACCAAGGCTTTCTCCACCATCCCTTCTCTTCACTGTGGTTCTGTAGTATTCATACAGACAGCCTGGAGTGCTCACCGAATCTAAGGTAGAACAGATAGAGAAGACAAGAAGCACCTATGAGCCTTAAAAATAGTTGACAAAATAGTATTTTTGACATATGCTTTTGTCTCCTCAATTTCCAGTGGAAAAACTGAGTTAGTAAATGTACGCTCTTATGATGAAGTCCAATAGCTACAGAGGCTCATGGTTTTTAACCTCCTAATGTCTATAACGTCCCCTGTTATATGTATTCAAAGAAAGACTAGATAAGTCAACAGAGAGGAAATCTACTGAGCCAGACTTATGTATGGAAAGCACATCTAACTCAAGCACACCACAAGTGGAAATGTTTGGAGCCTGCAAGACTATTCTTTCTGTGGCTTTACCCCGCTAAAGTAAATGCAGTGCTGCTTTATGGAAGTGTACAGGAAACAGTATATGTGGTTAAAAATAATTACAATATTTTTCAGAAGAAAATTAGAAAACAGGTCAAAATAAATCAAAATCAATGTCTTACGCTGATCCAATTTTATTTTCTAAGCATTCCCAGTTATCATCCTGGGGAATTTCTTGCAAGTTTGTTAATATAAAATAAATTAATTGTGGGGAAAATGAGAATCAGGGGTTAAAAAGGCTACTCAGCAAAAGCTCGGCAAAATGGAGAGAGGTGCTGCTGAACGTAAAAAATTATTATTAGGTAAACCAGACTGGAAAAGTGCTTACACTGGTCATTCTAAACACAATAAACACTGAAGAGAAAGAGGAATAACACCTTTCCTTGGAAACAAACTGCACATGATTTCATGCAATAAAGAACCTCTAAACTAAAATGATATCTAATAAGCTTCTCTAACAACAGCAATGGAGGTGTGAGATAATGCTTATTTTTTTCTAAAAGCTATGTATCAGTGCTAATTTCTGTATTTGATAGCACAGAATTAAACTACTAAAACTCAGCAAAGTCTGAATGACCTGGTAGTAAGTATACTGCAGATATATTACCTGAATTCAGAGGAATTGTGTTCAAATAGTTTGCAAGGATTCATCAACTTGCAAAAGAAAAGAATTAAATGAATGTTCTGTTGTAGCAGAAATGCATCTGAATTTTTTTTTTCAAATCTAAGTATGAAATTAATAAACTTTTCAGAAAATATTCATTCACTTGATCCCGCTGCTCTGTTTTATATCTTCCAACTAATTAGTCTTGGGCTCCCTAGTTTTGAGATTGTTAAAGCCCATTTATCCACTGGAGTCTCCCAAAGCACACCAGAACTGTTCTTCGTGGAATCTGAAGATAATCGTAGCATTTTTAACCATTATGAGATTTGTTACTTAACAGTACAAAACTTGTCTTTAGGTGCTGCATGCTGATTTCTCTAGGCCGACTGTTTTTGGGTATTTGGCTTTCATTTGCATTATACAACCCTTTATGTCTAGACTTTTTTATTTGACTGTATTGCTTTTACTTGTGACATATATGATTTGTTTGTATAATCAACTGGAACACATATAGGCTTGCTGCTGGAGGAGATACATAACCCTGACCCAGCTAGTGTGTGACTGAGTGAGTCAGCAATCTAAATTATATCTAAATAGTAGATAGGTCACTGAGAATTGTTACAAGGGAGAAAGGCAAAGAATATCTGTGAGAATATTAGTTATATTGGTGTATATATATATATATACACACACACACACACACACACACAATATATAGATACGTGTACACATGTAGAATCAGTCTTCGAGGGAAGCTTTGTCAGGTGTTTTATTTTAAAGAAATGTAATGCCTTCTTGTTGTCTTCCCCTCTCTCTAGCCAAAAAAAAAATCTAAGTTAGCACTCTACTTCTCCCACTGCAAACTGACACAAAAGACCTTCTCAGATAAATCACTCTTGCAGTTGTCTGGTATGACACAGTGTCAGATGCTGTCTTTTTGATAAGTTCATTTCCTAAGCAATTTGTTTAACCCTTTTTATAGGTGTTGTTTTCTCTGACTAAGTCGTGAGTCATTTTCAACACGAGTGCTCCAGGGAAATGTCATAAATGTCGCTTTGTTTCTGTGCCTGCCTGGCTGTGCCTTTTAATTTAGAAGCCAAAAGTCAGACTTACCCTTTTAGTCTGTCCTGTTCTGTTGATAGCTGGCTACTGTTGGCTCTGATTGTGTTACTCTATGTAGGCTGGTCTTACAGATGTTACAAGGCTGATGAAGTATTTGGGAAAGACCACCTCAAGAGTATAAAAGTAATGAAAAGGATTTTAGGAGCCTGTTAGAAAGGGTACCACTCATCAGATTTATGCTGTGTGGTGGCTGTAATTTCTTGTTTCTCAGAAGACAGTTCTAAGTTACCCCAAAGTATCCACCACAAATAAAATAAGATTGTCTAGGAAAAATCAAAGTGATCAGTTTTTACCCAAGAGACTTGCTTTAGGATACTAAAGCTGTCGTTCACCTCAACAGGACAGATGTCTTGAGGGCTTTTAAAGGGTCATATTTGCCTTTTCTCTTAGGAAAAATATATTTATTATTAACAGTTTATATTGCAAACATCCCCATAAATTCAGAGAACGGTTTCCAAACTAATTTTGATTTGTTGGGTCATCTGTGCTTGAGAGCAGCCAGAGACAAGTGTCTGCACCCAGATGTGGTCACAGAAGGTAAGAGCAAAGACTATGGGAGTCTCAAAAGAAAGTTCCCCTCAGGAAATGAATTCCAGCGAAGCAAATGTAATTATCAAAAGTCCCAGGCACTCTTCCTGTCTCAAGAAAGGAGCGTCCCAAACAATATTGCAAGATACTGCAGTTGGAAGCTATAAAATTCTTACCTAAATCACGATAACACAAGGCTCCTGTTCCTTTCTCCCCCATCCTCTCTTTCCTTCCCTCTTCCTCTCTCACCTTCTCCTTTCCCCCATCTCTTTTTCATTTCAAACACTCAAGGAAACTTGAATTATATATTTAAATTGTTTGATGATGTCTCTAAAAGAAAAATAAGTGAACACATTTTCTAGGTATTTGTTAAGTGATGTTGCCTCGGTGTACAACTTGACTCATAGCACCCATGTTCTTTAAAACCAGGTGTGCTGTTTGTGATCTTAATCTTTTCTAAATAGCTTTTATGCTAAAGCAGCATGATCTGTACGCATCTGGAGAGTTTATCTAGCGGACCCTATGTAGATCCCCTGGATTGCCTTTAAATGGTCTATTCTTTTCTCTAATGAGTTACTGCTGTTTTTAAGAATGCTATACTTCAAAGGCCAAAGAGCATTAATCATTCTCTTAAGGCTTAAGTGATGAGAGATGTTAATGCTAGAATTTTTACCACGGAGAAACAATTGGATTCTTGCCATTCTTTGTCAGGGTGACTTTGGAGCTCATACCCATAAAGGACTGAAGCCAAAATCCTTTTGTCAACATTTGGAAATGTTCTGAAGGAGAAGAATGAGCAAGTTATGAAATTCTTTACTTATCATAAGAATATTCCAGCCTCACTGTGTCATCTAAGCTTTTGAAATCATCTTTGTTCTGTCTGTAGGGCCATACTGTGGTAATGTGATGCCCATCCCCAAAGAAATCATTTTGGATAGTAATGAAGCAACTATTCACTTTGAGAGTGGATCCCACGTGTCAGGACGAGGCTTTCTGTTGTCATATGCCAGTAGTGATCATCCAGGTAAAGTGAAATCCAAAAGCACTACTTCTAATGGATTAGCACCATAGTCCTCCCTATTTCATGTCTTCTCCACATACCAGCTTTAGCTCAATATTGGTCCTAAATATTCCCAGAGATCTTATTAGCACAAACCATAATATTTTTAATAGCATGTGTACAAGAAGCAGTTATAACATTAAGCAGACATAACGGCATCTGAAATCTTACCTATGTAATTTGCAGCACAGGCCCAGTGAAACAGAAAATGAGTAGGTTCTCCTTGAAGCTCCACTGTGTTCTGGGCTCCAGCACTTACTGCACAGTCATGCATAGTATCACTGCATAGTAGAGATTAAGGTTTAATTCCTACCCTTGATGTTCTGGAGTCTGTGCAACTTTGTTAAAGGTGACAGAAGCTCCATTATGTGTGTAAAACATAGGACGAGTAGAAGAGGTAGACAAAGAGAATGAGGGAAACTATATGTGTTGCTTTCCAGCTAATAAAATTGTGTAACTATTATACAGAGAGATCTTTAAATGTAATTTCATGCTTAGGCAAATTTCTTCTGTTTTTCTGTGTTCTGCAACCAGGATTTACATTTGTAAACTTTTCACAGATCTCATCACATGTTTAGAACGAGGCAACCACCACACAAAGCCTGAGTACAGGTAAAAGGGGTTTAAAGCTCTCTGCACTGTGGCGTACTTTTCTGCATCTGTCATCTGGTCTGCTAATTTTTGTAAAGTACCATACAAGACATGTACAAACTTAGTTTTCTGGAGAAGTGAATATTTTTGAGCTCTGGTGCTGTAATAATCTAAGGCCTAGTTGTGAGAGGCAGTAGTGTGGAACAGAAGTCTATGGCCCAGAAAAAACGAGGGAATCAAATTACCGAGCACTCAGCAATCCTGATTTGGGCACAAATAGTATACATAGTATATGTATAAAGAGTTTCCACTTTGAAATTCAAAGTAGCCTCTATTTCGACTGCATCTCCTGAGAGCAGACGGGATGAAACGTCCTGCATGATCACACCCTAGCTGATAAAAGATTATCTCAAGACAAGCTATAATTTCTTAGGGCCTTGAACTTTATGACAGAACTTGAAATGGTAATAAATTGTACTCTTCTGGTTGTTGTCTGAATGTGGATGTAGGCGTCTTATCTGGGCTGTGTTGAAAGCTTGTGCAGGAGCATTTCTAGAGCAACAGAATTAAAGAAAAATACATGTGCAAAACTGCTGTTTTGGCTCTTTATGTGTGCTACTATGTGCAGTCCACAGATGAACTCAAGGGCACATTTACCATCTAGAATCACTAATAGCTGATCAGTCAGAACTTACTGTTTTAACATATGTATTAGTTTGTGAGCATTTCTTGTGTATGAGTGGGTTTCTATGTATCATCATTACAGTCCAGATTTTAAACAAGCCTCTGTTCTTTCACTACAGCAGATACTGTCCTGCTGGCTGCAGAGACATAGCGGGTGACATTTCTGGGAATATAATAGAAGGATACAGAGATGTAAGTACACAAATAACGAGGGGAGATTTATAAAGACAGAATCCACTGCTCAATTGCATAGCACAACTTGAAGTTTCCACTTTTGCTGCTCGGCTTTCACTGGTATTTCTTCCCAGCTGTGTTAGATATAACTCTTATTATATTAGTATGTTATCAGTATATAGGCACACTGAGATATTTTTAAACAAACTAATCAACTGCATGTGAGCAAAGTCCACTGACTGTCAAATATGCCTACTGACTTTTGGTTTCTGGCTTTTTGGCTGCATAGGGTTTTTCTCCCTTGTGGTAGTGCTTGTTGATGTACTAAATATTCCTATGACTTCAGTTTTTACTTGTTCGGATCTCATGTGCGCTTCTTCTCTTGAGTAATGTCTTGTAGGAGAAACAATAAATTTCAGTAATGTGTGGCTTTTTGTTAAGATTTTGCCTGCAGTATCCCAGGAACCTACTCTGAGAGGAAATAAATGTTATACACTGCCTAATCACATCCCACTGATAACTACCGAGCCCTTGCACTGTTCTTTATTAATTACTCTTTCTTTAAAGCGTAGAAGTTGCCTGAGTGGTTACATCTATCCTCAGCTCATACCATACATTGCCCTGCCCCTTCTGTGCCCCTCACTCTAGCCTCTCCTGCCTTCGTTCCTGTGAAATCTTTACATCTCTCACAGTGGAGTAAGTTTAATCATACCATTGAAGTAAAATCCCACCCTATCACAAATAAAGCAGTTGATGAGTTTCCAAAAAGTCAGCGTTCACGTTTAACCTGCTCATCCAGTTATTCAAGCATACCACTCCAGCCTGGAGAATGGCAGAGCTGAAAAAACAAAGAAATGCCACATTAGAGTCTAATTAGCAGGAGTTATTCCTGCCGTTCTGGGTGATTAGGGAAAAAAAAAGCAGCACATGGCATGACCTGTGCAGATCTTATCTATGCTCAGGAATTTTTGCAAGAAATTTTCCCTCTACTGTTAACGAGGAGGCAGCTTTCCTGATGGGAGCAGCCTTCAAGGCTCCCAGGTAGCCCCTGCTGTCTTCGCATCCCTTACCTACCCAGCTCCCTTTGGAGCAGGTAGTCGTCGCTTGGTTGTCCCGAGGTACAGGCAGTAACGGAGGTGCCCCAGCCGGCCCCGTGCAAGTGACTGAGCAGACTTGCCTGTCCTGTCAGCACCAGCTCGGGAATCTCTGTTGCACTTTTCCATCAGCCTTTCTTTCCTCCGTTTTACCTTAATGGAATGTTATTGCCACCTGTATTTTTGCTTTATCAGAACTATTCCACCTGGGATACTGGCAAATGGACTATACTTGAAATCCAGGGGCAGCCAGTGGACTGCCAAATTTCCTAGCGTATACCATGCCTCAGCTCCTAAGCCTATATGCAGGAATAGAAATGTCTGGCTTCAGGCAAGGCCACGATGTGTTTTTCATTTTCTCTTTGCAAAGATGAATGGTTGCCTTGCATTTGACTTTGTTTTCCTGAGAGGCACGATATTCATTAGGTTAAGACCTTATGGCACCTTCTCAGAAGAAGATTATTTGCTTTTTTCATTTTATAAACTTGACTTTTGGAAAGAGATCTAATTTTTTCAAATTTGCAGAATTTTATGAGCTATAAAACAAGTATAATAGTGACTTGGAAGTAAAAGTATTGGAAAGAATTGGAAAAAGTTTGCCAGGTTTTTCTTGATGGTTTTGCACTCCGATGACTTCTGCCTTTCAGACCTCGCTGCTGTGCAAGTCAGCCATACACGCCGGGGTTATCGCGGACGAGCTGGGCGGCCAGATCAGCGTGACCCAGCAGAAGGGCATCAGCCGCTACGAGGGCGTCATGGCCAACGGCGTGGCCTTCCCGGGGGGGGGAATC